TTAACTAGTAAAGAATGTCTTCCTTGAGCATTGTGCTCTTTCAAGATCTATCTATATGGGACAAACTGACAAGAGCAACTTGAAAGATTAGATAGGAAACTATCTAGGGGGCAGTGAGTTTAGGTTAATGGAGAAGGAACAATGCAGAAAAGTAGTGTGAGAATGGCTGCACAACTCGAAGAATGTAATCAGTGTCACTGAATTGTACATGTATAAACTGCTGAATTGGTATATGCTTTGCTATGTATATTCTCAACAACAACAAAAGAACCAGAGACCAAAGAGATCAAATGGGGGAAAAATTTGGAAGGAAGAGACAGCATAGAGAGCAGAAGAAAACGGAATAAAAAAGAAATCACCCACAACACAATAACTAATATTCTCAGACTACAGAGAAGGTATCTTCATGATAAAAGGAGATATGCTTTTAAAGAGATAAGATTCAGAGAACAAGAGCTCTTGGAGGAAAATCTTTGTGACCCTGGGTTAGGTCAAGATTTCTTAGACACAGTTCTAAAAGCATAATCCATAGAAGAAGAAACTGATAAATTAGACTTCACTAAAATTAAAAACTTCTGCTCTTTGAAAGACACTGTTAAGGAAATGAAAACATAAGGCACATACTCAAAAGTAGGTGCCAAACCTTATCTCATAAAGGAGTTGTATCCAGAATATATAAAGAACTCTCAAAACTCATGAATAAAAAAATAAACCACCCAGTACAAAATGGACAAAAGATTTGAACAGCTACTTTACCAAACAAGACAGACAGATGACAAGTAAGTACTTGAAAACATGCTCAACATTAGTCATTAAACAAATATATATTAAAAGCACAATGAGATACCACTATATACCTATTAGAATGGCTAAAGTTTTTAAAAATAAAATAAACATTTTAAACTGGTAACACTAAGTACTGGTGAGGATGCGGGGCAGCTGGAATTGCTGGTGCGAACGCAAAATGGTATAGCCACTTGGAAAACAGTCTGGCATTTTCTTACAGATTATAAAATTAAACATATTCTTACTAAACCCACTGCCGTTGAGTCGATTCCAACTCATAGTGACCTTATAAGACAGAGTAGAACTGCCCCGTAGCGTTTCCAAGGCTGTATCTTTACAGAAGCAGACTGCCGCACCCTTCTCCTGCGGAGAGGCTGGTGGGTTCGAACTGCTAACCTTTCTGTTAGCTGCCAAGCGCTTAACCACTGTGCCACCAGGGCTCCTTGGTTTTTCTATACAACCCAGCAATCCCACTCCTAGGTATTTACCCAAGAGGAATGAAAGCTTATGTCCACACAATTACCTAAATGTGACTGTTTACAGCAGCTTTGTTCGGAATGGCCAGAAACTGGACAAAAACCCCAAATGTCCTTTCAACTAACAAACCACGGTGTAGCCATCCGATAGGCTACTACCCAGCAATAAAAAGGAAGGAACTCCTCATAGACACAACCACAGGGAGGAATCCCAAGTGCATCAAACTGTATGATTGCAATGATAACGACATTCTGGAAAAGGCAAAGCTATGGAGTCAGAAAGCAGGGGCTGGGGTGGCGGGAGGGGCTGTTTGCAAAGAGGCACGAGGAGGTTTTGGAAAGTGAGCTTTTCATTCTGTAAGCAGGTCTCTTCTCCTGACCGTCACTCAAAGATCACTGTCCACGCATTCCAGAATCTAATATCTCAACGGTCGAAGCAGAAGGGTAATATTCTTTTCTCTTAGAACCATCTTTACTTTTTTCTTCTCATAGACTTTAATAAGGGTTTGAAAGTAACATAAGAGAATTACAGCATAGCCCAGAACAGAGAAGTTAAGACTGTCACCAGCCAACTTTTCTTCAGCCCAGCAGCCACCATGTTGCTGAGGTCTGCCTGTCCCCTCTATCTATAGACATCCTCCCTCCCCTCCATCTCTCTGCCCCTTATCCCATTTCACCGCCAGGGCAGTTACCCCAAAACTCCAATTTTCTACTGAATTATCATACAGAGCAATTTAGCTCTTATGCCCCAATCATTTACTCCCAGACTGTTCCCTGGGGACTTTGCCCTTCTCAAACAAGTCATCAGGATGTCTCCCACACAAAACGGCCACCACCCCACCCAATATCGCCACCCTAAGCAACACAAAGAACGGGAAGAATTGAAACAACAGTTATTCTTAACTGGTCCCGGATCAAATTTTTAAGCAAAGAATCCTTCTCCACAAACAGTAGTATCCTAAAGCAGAAGGAAGACAGTAGAAAAAGTCTTCTTTCTTTGTTGAGAAAACACACACGCATGCACGTACACCCATACACGATGCTATTCTTACATATGTTCAGGAATCGGAGATTATGGCGGGGAGGTCTATTTCAGGGTTCAATCCCTTGCTTTCTCAGTAGGTTCTGCCCTAAGTCTGACTCAACCATCCCATTTCCTCCAATCCATTCATTGTGGAAAGCAGACACGCTCTCACAAAAACACGGCAACATGCTCTCATGTCTTGCTTTCCCAGCCACCTTCCCTGACCCAGCCCACTCTGTGCTATTTATTTGTTCTGTTTTACACGTGTGGTTCTGACTCCCAGTGAGCTGTAAGCTCCAGCACCTTGCGTGGTGCTGAGCACCGTTAGAGGCTCTACAGACAAGCCATGTGGTGAAAATCCACGGCTCTCCCAGCTTTGTCTTCTCTAAGGATAAAGAGCCCACCTCTGTAGCACCTGCCTCTGTTCCCCCTCCCTGGCCCCTGGCCACTCTGGCCCCTGGCCACTCACCCTGGGCTCACCCTGAGCTGCAAAGCGAGTGCGCAGAACATCCAAGGGGTGCATGGCGAGGGTGGCCACGCAGGCAGACAGGCCGCCACACACAAAGTGCATTGAGAAGTCGCGGGCATTGTACACGCTGGCTCTGTGCACCAGCTCGGTCAGCAGGTCAAACGACAAAAACTGCAAGAGTGAGCGGGAAAGTCAGGGGCAGCCCGGGAATGAGGCTGAGACACGCTCCCCAGCACCCGTCCATAACCCGGGTGGGGCCTGAGCTCAGGGATAAGCAGAGACCACACGCTCCCCAGCACCCGCCCATAACCCAGGTGGGGCCAGGCGCGGGGAATGAGCAGAGACCACACGCTCCCCAGCACCCGCCCATAACCCAGGTGGGGCCAGGCGTGGGGAATGAGCAGAGACCACACGCTCCCCAGCACCCGTCCATAACCCAGGTGGGGCCTGAGCTCAGGGATAAGCAGAGACCACACGCTCCCCAGCACCCGCCCATAACCCAGGTGGGGCCAGGCGTGGGGAATGAGCAGAGACCACACGCTCCCCAGCACCCGCCCATAACCCAGGTGGGGCTGGGCATGGGGACAAGCACAAGGTGAGGAGACACTCTGCCAGAGCAGTGACGGAACAGAATCAATACGTAATCCTGTGCAGGAATCAGATGCCATCTGATACTCTCTTTGAGTACAGCTAAATACTCAAAGGGCTAAGAAAATATATATGGAACATTTTTTATATCAGAAAATTCCATCCATTAACTTAATTTTCTGACAACTAGGAAAAGATGGTCATTAGCTGATTCCTGGCAGAGGGCCCCCTGGGAGCAGAGTTTCTGGGGGGCACATTCCCCTGCTGTAGCCGCGACACTCAGCTCTTCCCCCAGCCAGCTCCAGGTGGCCCAGTTTCCTGAGAACATCACGTCATCACGCTGCAGTGTTTATCTGTGTGACTGGTGCAGAGACGGGATGGCGAGGGCCTGTCACCTCGGTAGACACTTGACTTGAGCCATTGGCGTGTCATAGCAGGAAGAGTTTGGGACGTCGCTGACGCTAGCCTGCCTGGGTGGCAATCCTGGCTCTGCCACTTCCTGGCTAGGTGATTTTGGTTGAGTAATTACCTAACCTCTTCACCTGAGTCTTCTCTTGTGTAAATCAGGGGGGACAAGAGAACCTACTTCAAAGGACTGTTCTGACGTAATGTACGTGAAGTGCTTAGAACAGGGCCTGGCCCATGACCAGCATTGTACAAGACTAGCTACTACCACTATGACTACTATGAAATACACTGGCGCTTAGGTGAACGAGGAATAACTAAACGTCCAGAAGCCAGGATTCCAATCTTAGCCTCCCCACTAACAGGCTGTGTGACCCCAGGCAACTTGCTTAACCTCTCTGTGATCCACATAACACCTGCTCTACCTTCCTCATGATGCTGCTGTGACGTTCAAATGGGTCACAAAGGTGAAAATGCGACTTCAGAATAGAAAGCATTAGTATCGCCATTTGCCCAGCCTCGTCGGGGCCATGGTGTCTAGACGGCCTGCTGGGTGCAACACCTAGTGGACTCTTGCTGCTGAAGCCCCGCTGACGGGGGATGCCTCCCGCTGAGGGTGGGTGCCTCCCGCTGAGGGTGGGTGCAGGAGGAAGGGAACACCCACAATACAGCTCAGTCTGAGCAAGCTTCCAACTGGCCAGGCGGGTTCCCATGAAGACAGGTGAGAAGGGTGTGGACTGCCTCTTCCTGCCGGACCCCAGAGTGTCTCACCCTCCCTGTGCCCCTCCACTGAGCAAGTGTCACCCCAAGGGCCTGGCCAGGCCCCTGCCACCTACCTGCACAGCTCCATAGCCTATGGAGAGAAGCTGGGCTGGGATGTGTCCTTTCCAGAAAGCTGCTGGGCCCTCCTCCTGCAGAATCTGTCTCCCAGCCTGTAGGATGCCGTGGTATTTTGCACTGGGGTCACTGTGGGACAGGCGCTCAATCTGAAGCTGGGAACCAAAGTGGAAAAGGTCAGGTGATAGGGGTTGGGTTGGGGTGGGGTGAAAAGTAGAACTTTCAGAAACGATAATGAAGGTAATGGAGAAGTGCTTCACCTTGACCAAACAATTCCAAGTTCTAGGAATGTCTTTGCAAGAGACATTGAACTTGGCCTCCAGCTCACTGCAGGGACAAAGGGGGAAAGGGTACCTGGAAACGGATCTTGATGACGTCCAGGGGGCTGACCAGCGCCCGAGTGACAAGTCCAGACACAGAGCCAGCCACCGCCACCTCGACCTTGGAGATATTCCTGCCATCTGCTCTGGGGTCATAGCCGACCATCCCTGCCTCCGGCCCATACAACGTCCATCAGTAGCAGGCTAAATGCAAGAGCCAGGGAGTAAGCAGTAAGCACAAAGGCAAGTTCCTCAAGGTCTCTGCTTGAAGACCACCTCCCAACCAGCACAGCTGTGTCCCCTTACTCTGCTTCACTCTTCTTTACAGCATGCATTACTCGGGGACGTTCATACTGGGCATTTGTTTCTGGACTCGCCCCCGCCAGCATGTGAGCTCCATGGACACAAGGCTGGGTCTCATTGGTTCCTCCCTGCACTTCCAGTGCCTGGAACAGAGCCTGTCACCATCAGTATGCAATACATATTTGTCGACTAAATGGATGAGCAAGCCTGGTAGGAAATGTTGACTCCCAGAGATCACTGGGCTTCCCAATGACCTCTGGCTTTGAGGGCAAACCCCTGCTGAGGTCAAGTCCTGGGCTGTATCTGAGTGGGAGCAGAACCCACAACAGCTGAATGCTGGGGAGGACTGTCAGACATGCAGGGTCAGAGAGCGGGGCTTGGGGTTCTCTAACAACCCACGTGAACCTAATGAAGAGCCCAGCAGCCCTGAGCCCCTTGGTACCTCCCTTCCCCATTCCCCCCACACACACAGGTCCACCCTGCTGCAGTGGAGCTGAGCCACCCTATTAAATGACGGGCCCGTCGGATCAGACCCTGCTGACCTCTTCAGCCTCACTCTGGACCACTGGTCCCCTTCCCTCACTTCACCAGTGTGGTCTCAGTGCTTCTGCAGTTTGTAGAAAACACTGGGTGCATTCCTACCTACTGCCTTGCTTTGCACCTACTGTTCCCATGTCTGGAAAGCACCCACCACCCCCGCTCTTCCCAAGGCTGGCTCCTCTCATCAGTCAGGGCTCAGCTGAAGACCACCTCCTCCAGAAGGCCTTCCCTGCTCCCCTCCTGTCTCCACCACCTGCTGTCTTTATTTCCTCCTCTGCATTCTAGCCCTCGCCAATGTGTATGCCCACAGGAGGCAGGCTCCATATAGGCAGGACTTAGTCGCTCTAATTACAGCTGTATCTCCACAGACCAGCACAGTGTCTGACATGTAACGAAGGCTTTAAAACCAGTTAATGAATACACGATTAAAAACCAAATTACTTTTAGATTGCAGAAGTAACATGGACCTTGTAGGGAAGAGAGGAAAAAAAGAAAACCGTCTTAACGCTTCTGACTTCACGTTATTTCCTTCTAGTTTTTCTCCTGTTCACGGCTTTTACCTATTTCACACAATTCTGTCTCCTGGCTTTAAAATGTAAGCTGTCACAGCACGTTTCCACGTCGCTACGTGATCTTCGTAAGTATCATTCTGAATGGCTGAACAATATTCCACCCAGTAGCTACGCATAATTTGTTGGGCACTGGGGACTTTTTAATTATATGTTTATTTTGAAAATACCTAATTCCATTTTTCTCTAGACCAGGGTTTCTCTACACCACTATTGATATTTTGGACCGAATGATCCCTCGCTGTGGGGCTGTCCTGTGCACTGCGGGAGTTTAGCAGCATCCCTGGTCTCTACCCACTCAATGCCAGTACCAGGCCCCCTCCCCTCACCCAGGTAATAATCAAAAATGTCTCCAGCCATTGTTAAAAAGTCCCCTGGGGGCAAAATTGGCCCTATTTGAGAACCACTGATCTAGAGAAATACTAGCACGAGTGTACAGAATCTTATGTATTACATCATTATTTGTAAAACTGGATGCAACCTAAATGCTCATCAATCAAACCAAAAAAACTCAAACCTGTTGCCAGCTCATAGTGACCCTGTAGTAGGACAGAGTAGAACTGTTCATAGGGTTTCCAAGGCCGTAATCTTTACAGAAGCAGACTGCCACATCTTTCCCCCGCAGAGTGGCTGGTGGATTCAAAACTGCAGACCTTTCCGTTAGCAGCCGAGCACTTTAACCACTATACCACCAGGGCTCCTTTGCTCTTCAATTGAGGGATGGATGAACACAGTAAGTCACACTCATGCAAGGGAATCCTATGCAGCCATTACAAAGAATGAGCCCGAGCTATACACACTCACCTGTAAAGGTGTCATAATAAACCAAACGAGTTGCCATCAAGTCCATTCCGACTCATAGTGATTCTATAGGACAGAGCAGAACTGCCCCACGGAGTTTGCAAGGAGCAGCTGGTGGATTCAAACTGCCGACCTTTTGGTGTGCAGCTGAGCTCTTAACCACTACACCACCAGGTGTCACAATAGCATGAAAAAAGCAGGTTTCAGAACAGTATGTACAGTATAATCCCATTTTTCGTAAAGGAAAAACAGCAAGACCCATATACACTCTAGAACTGTATAAAACATGGGAAAAGGTGTGTAATGACACACACACCATCAGGACGTCAGTAAGGTTATTTCTGAGGGAAGAGTTGCACAGGGAAAACAGAGGGTAATCTCTCCCTACATCTTTATACACTTCTATAGTTTGAATTTGTTATGGAAAAAATATATATATATAATGAATTTAGAAGGGATCTAAGAGGTTACCTAGTTCTCGAATACCTTTACTAATGGGGAAGTCACTACCTACACAGTGACAACCCCAGAGCAAATGTATCCTTCCCTTCCCTCTCCCCAACCCCATCATTGCTTCTTTTTCTCCTCGTACCCACCCTGGAACTCTGAGGGCTTGGAATTCAGCCCCAAGTCCTCAAACACTTTTCTCAAAGACCAAAGTAATGTTCCACTCTATCCTGAAAATTAACAAGACACTTCCACGGGGCTCTACTGGCAAATTATTCTAAAATCACATTTTATTAAAAGTCTAACGGTACGAAACCTCCTACCCCCTGCCAGGAACGTGTCCATTTCTTGATACCTTCTTCCCATACCTCAAATGAGGAGACGTGGCCTTTCCTATCCACTTCTCTGTGACATAACTCAAGTTGTATCTCCCGAGGTGCCTGTGAGGTGCAGTTTGGAGATGGGACAGGTGATTGAGAGGCAAGGGCTCTCCCAAGGTTACCCAGAGACTGCTGAGGTCACACTGGGGGTGGGGTGGGGGAGTGCCCCAGTGAGGAGCAGGTGTTGTGGCTGTTTCAGGATGGGACTGGAGGGATCAGGCTCTTCACTCAGGGAGCCCTGCCTGTAAGTGCAAGAACCACCACCTGAGGTGGTGGGGGTGGCTAGGTTGTGCCAGAGACGTTTCTATAAATAAGCAGCTCAGCATAGCTGACATAACCTTAGACCTCAGACCAAGAAGCCTAAATTCAAGGGCTGCCTCTCCTGCGCACCTTGGGCAGGTTTCTTTACCCTGGGCTCAGTTTTCTCTTCTGGAAAATGGGCATGATGTCTGCCCTGTGTAGCCCACAGAGCTGGGAGGATCATGGAAGATGATGTATGTGAACGGTTAAGCGCTGGATTACTAGCCGAAAGGCTGGCCACTGGAACCCACCCAGAGGCGCCTGGTAGGACAGGCCTGGCCATCTGCTTCTGAAAGGTCACAGCCTTGAAAACTCTATATGCAGTTCTATTCTGCACACATGGGGTCACATGAGTCAGAATCCACTGGATGGCAACTAACAATAACGTAAAAGAACTTGTTAAATACATAGTTCAGTGGTGGCCTTACTTTTTATACTTGTTCAAAAATTCCTTCTTATACCAATAAGCCTTGATATTTACCTAAAGAGACAAGATAAAAACGAAATATGATTATATGCAGTATATATATATATATATAAGACAGCACCCTGAAGACGTGCAGTGCCAGAGACCCGGCCGGCTGCTGGTGTGAGCGGCAGGGTGGATGGGATGTGTGGTCAGAGTTTGCCTTCATCCCCCTTCTCTGCAGAAGCCCGGGTCTTCATGTACACAGGTGTCCCGCGGTGCAAGCGAGGGCTCATGTGCGCATGTGTCCAGCCTTCCCACGCTGCAGGTTCTCTGCAGATGTCCCCACGCGTCTACACAGGTGTCCACGTGTGCCTCAGGGTGTGTTTTAGTCCCAAGTATGAGAAGACACCCACGAGGTGGGTGCGACTCTGTCCAGGTGCTTCCTGCGCCCGTGAGATGTTTCTCAGGTCGGGTGTGACACGTGTGTGTACAGTCCCGCCCCGCGTGGGTACCCGCGCGTGTGTGCTCCCCCCGGCCCGCCCGACTCACCAGGGTGAAGTCTCCGAGGTGGCGGTGAGGAGGGCTGAGGTAGAGGTCATTCACCCGGCTCGGCGGTCACCGCCGGTCTCCCCACACTCTCCTCTCCCTCGCGACTCATGCGGCCCAACAGCAAAACTTAACTGCGCGCGCCATAACTGACGGGACCCTGAGCCAGTCACCGCTGAGCCAACGACAGACGCTAGACCAGTGGGTTACGCACAGGGCCCAGTGACCGTCTCCCGCTAGGTGTTTCTGGGCAATGTAGTCCGCCTTTACTGAGTGTTTCCCCGGCGAGGCGCAGGGCCTCCTGGGGGCTGTAGTCTCGCTGTGCGCACGCGCGCAGGCGGACGCTACCGGCCCGTCGGTAGGAGGCGGGTCGCCAACGGCCGCTGTGACGATGGAGGTCGCCGCACTGAGTGGCGCGTAACTCGGGAGTCAGACAGCGGAAGAGCGAGAGGATGGGGGCGCTTTGAACTTGACCTGCTTCCTTCAAAACCCTCGTTGTCTTAGAACCCGCGTAATATAAACTTGGAAAAGATGGCTGGAAGTCTAGCAAAAACCCGCAGGACCTGGGAGAAAACGTGGGGTTTTAATACCAAAGCGAACCGGCCAAAGAAGAATTTTTGTTTTTTTAAGGTTTATTATACATAATTTCTCGTTATAGAAATAATATAGCCATATTTACAGAAGGCTTTTTTTTAAAGTTTTGAACACAGTTCTTTATTTTTTCCCCATACAAAAATTTATACATACATTGTTATGTGGCTCTAATTGCTCGCCCCATACTGTGACAGCACACTCCTCCTTTCCTCCCCAGATTCCCCATGTCCCTTCAACCAGCTCCTAACCCTCTCTGCCTTCCCATCTCACCTCCGGACGGAAGCTGCCCGTTTAGTCTCTTGTATTTACTTGAGCTAAGAGGCACACTCCTCACGATATCACTTATGTCCCACAGTCCAGTCCAATCCCTGTCTGAAGAGTTGGCCTCAGAAATTTAGTTCTGGGCTGATAGAGAATCCAGGGGCCTTGCTTTCCGGGGTTCCTCCAGTCTCAGTAGGACCATTAAGTTTGGTCTTCTTACTAGAATTTGAGTTCTGCACCCCACCTTTCTCCTGCTCCATCCCGGAGTCTCTGTTGTGTTCCCTGTCAGGGCGGTCATTGGTGGTAGCTGGGCACCATCTAGTTCTTCTGGTCTCAGGCTGATGAAGTCTCCAGTTTATGTGGCCCTTTCTGCAGAAGACATTTCTTATTGTTGAGTTTTGAGAGTTCTTTATATTTATGGATGTCATGTATCAATTTTAAATATTTTCTCCCAGTTTGTGGCTTGTGGTTTCATTCTTGTGTCTTTCAAAGAGCAGTTTTTCACTTTAATAAGTCTAATTTATTGATTTTTTTTTTCCTTTTATGGATCATGCTTTTGGTATCTAATTGTATAATTTATTTTATAAGGATCAGCACAAAGCTGGTTCCTGTGAGGCAGAAAAGTTAACGATATCCCAAACTGCTGTACCACTCGGTCTTCTCTAACACCACTACTCCCCTTCTCCTCAGTACTGTCCCTTCTGTCTTTGGGTTCGGTAAGTCTCTGCAATGTCTCACAGAACTCACAACCTGTACTTATGCTTAAGTGGCTTATTAGGGAAGTAATAGGGTACAACTAGGGATCCGGATTAACCTGGAAGTAACAGGAACAACAGCTCAGGACACAGTTCCTCCATCAGGGCAGCTTCTCGCCCTCTGTCTCCAAGCTTGCTGGGGGCCTTCTCAGGCAAGTGTTAATACCTGTTAGCTCCCTGGGACATTGGCAAGCTCCACCGCAGTCCCTCAGTGTTTTCCATATTACAGTCCCTCTCTCTCTCTCTCCCTTTAAGCCTAGAGGGATGGCAAAACTGACCGATCCCCTTGTTAGGGTTCCAAACACCTTATTTGCATGGTCCCCCCCACCACACACGCACAAGGGTGCCATGCACCTTATTTACATTATTTGCAATCCCCTTCGTGGACCACAAGCACCTCATTTGCCAGGCAGTCATTTGGTGGGAGTTAGAAAACCATGGCTAGAAAGGCCATATAAAAACAACCCATCGCACCGTAGTATTATACCTAAGAAATCTTAGCCTAAAAGAAATCTTTGCCTAACCCAAGATTATAAAGATTTTCTCCTGTTTTCTACTAGAAACGTTACTATTTTAGGGTTTACATTTAGGCCTCTGATCCATTTTGAGTTCATTTTTGTGTATGGTTTGAGGTATGGATTGAAGTTCGGTCTTTGCATTTGGATATTCAGTTGTTCCAGGAACTGGAATACTTTTTTGTTGAGAAGTCTGATATTTTTTCTACTGAATTGCTTTTTGCACCTTTGACAAAAATCAGTTGTTTGTCTATATACACCATTTCAACTTCTGCTTTTTCACTCTGAACAAAGTGATAAGCATTGTCCACCCAGGAAAAGGGTAGTTTAAAAATGTTAAGATGGCCCACAATGGGCAGAACCTGATTCAGAATTTTGACTTCCTGCCTTTCTTGAAATTGTTCCTTTCCATTCCCTTCAGAGATACCTTTTTTCTCACTCACTTCCTCCTTGTCTCCTTGCTTAGAGATTATCAGATTTACCCAGGGGTTCCCAGCCTTCGTATTACGTCTCTATTTTCCAGGTCAGTTGACCACTAACCACTCTCCAGATACTCTCTTCAGCTAAAGATACTGTCTTAGTTATCTAGTGCTGTTATAACAGAAATACCACAAGTGGATGGCTTTAACAGTTTATTCTCTCACAGTCTAGTAGGCTAGAAGTCCGAATTCAGGGCGTCATCTCCAAGGCAAGGCTTTCTCCCTCTGTCGGCTCTGGAGGAAGGTCTTTGTCATCAATCTTCCCCTGGTCTAGGAGCATCTCAGCACAGCAACCTTGGGTCCAAAGGATGCACCTTGTTCCTGGCGTTTTCTTGGTGGTATGAGGTCCCCATGTCTCTCTGCTCACTTCTGTTATATCTCAAAAGAGATTGGTTTAAGACACAATCTGATCTTGTAGATTGAGTCCTGCCTCATTAACATAACTGCCACTAATCCTGTCTTATTAACATCATAGAGATAGGATTTACAACACATAGGAAAATCACATCAGATGACAAAATGGCGGACAATCACACAATACTGGAAATCATGGCCTAGCCAAATGGATATACATTTTTGGGGGACACACTCAATCCGTAACAGATATGTTTGGTTCTACTTTGTTCTCTTGCACTAGAACAAGTACATATTTTTCTTCTTTTTTTAAATTTATTTATTGTGCTTTAGGTGAAAGTTTACAGCTGAAGCTAATTTCTCAGATGAAAATTTATACACATTGTTATGTGACACTAGTTACAGTCCTTATAATGTGACAGCACACTCCTCTCCACCCTGAGTTTCCCGTGTCTATTCAACCAGCTCCTGTCCCTTTCTGCATTCTCATCCTGCCTCCAGACAGGAGCTGCCCATTTAATCTCGTGTACCTACTTGAACTAAGAAACACACTCTTCACGAGTATTATTTTATGTTTTATAGTCCAGTCTAATCTTTGTCTGAAGAGTTGGCTTCGGGAATGGTTTTAGTGCTGGGTTAACAGAGAGTCCGGGGGCCATGTCTTCTGGGGTTCCTCTAGTCTCAGTCAGACCATTAAGTCTGGTCTTTTTACATGAATTTGAGTTCTGCACCACACTTTTCTCCTGCTCTGTCAAGGACTCTCTGTTGTGTTCCCTGTCAGGGCGGTCATTGGTGGTAGCCGGGCACCAGCTAGTTCTTCTGGTCTCACACTAATGGACTCTCTGGTTTATGTGGCCCTTTTGTCTCTTGGGCTAATATTTCCCTTGTGTCTGTGGTGTTCTTCATTCTTCTTTGCTCCAGGTGAGTTGGGACCAATTGATGCATCTTACATGGCTGCTCGCAAGCTTTTAAGGCCCCAGACATCACTCACCAAAGTGGGGTGCAAAACATTTTCTTAATAAACTTTGTTATGCCATTGACATAGATGTCCCCTGAAACTATGGTCCCCAGACCCCCGCCCCTGCTACTCTGTCCCTTGTAGTGTTTGGTTGTGTTCAGGAAACTTATTAGCTTTCGGTTTCGTCCAGTTGACAAGCACACATTTTAGAATGTTGTTGGTTGCCATCAAGTAGATTCTGACTCAGGGTGACCCCATGTGTGCAGAGTAGAACTGTCCTCCATAGTGTTTTCAGTGCTGTGACCTTTTGGAAGCAGATTGCCAGGCCTTACTTCCGAGGTGTCTCTGGGTGAGTTAGTACTTCCCAATAGGGGATACGCCAAGAAGGACTTTCGACAACAAGCTAATTATAGAATCAGTTATACTCAGGGAGTCACAGGTCATCAGAACAGGAAGGACTTACGGAGGTCATTTAGTCCAGCGGGGGCCAGAGGGGACGGGTGATGCGCTCACGGTTCCTCACGGTCAGATGACAAATGGGTGGCCTGGCTAAGATTTCTCCTTTTCCCTTCCTGGTAGGTGTCAGTTTTCCTGGACTTGGGCCCTGCCTTGAGCTTTTGCATATTTGAAATCTGGTCACTTCAAGTTAATTATACTTAGTAAATCATGTCATGTGAAAAGAGAACCTGGAAAATAATGGTTCCTGTTAGTTTGGGGAAATGAATCCTTCTGTGACCTCATCAACACTTACCCTAAACAGACCTATTAAAAGCACCTTTGGACTTTCCCCACCTCCTCAGCGGGAGTAAATAGCTCCTTGGCCTTGACCAGACAGAGTTGGTATGTGACAGCTGCCCCAGCCTGCTGCTGAGTTGAAAGAGTCTCTTGGACCGGGCAGTGTTCTGTTCCGTTGTACACAGGGCCACTGTGAGTCGGAACCGACTCGACGACACCTAACAACAAGTTAACACCTGAGTGAGTTTGTCAGCCGTGCTGTCTGTAAGAGGCCTGAGAACCGGGAGGCAACTTGCCGCGGGTCTTTGGCAAGTTACTTCCCTTCTCAGGGCTGCAGTTGCTCCCTCTCTAAAATGAAGGGGTTGGACTACAGGCTGTCTGAGCCTCGCTGCCTCCACATTGCCACAGGCCTGAAACTCTGCATTTGTAGTAAACACAGGGAGGGGGTCTCAATTTCAGCTGCTGCATGTCACCTGGGGCGCTTATTTAAATCTGCAGGTCACCTCCTCCA